GGTTTACATTAGTTTGCTTTATCTACTTTTGCTTATGGCCATACACATCACTGGCATGTGGCCCTTGGAAGATTGTTCAGAGGGCAATGTGGCCCTTGGATTTCTCCACTCCAGGGTACACATTGAATACACCAAAGAATTACAGCCAGCTTCAGTCAGCATCCACAACCCCTTCAAATTGCATGTACTAGTTTACTTAATTCAACTTTCCATTATTTTTGTGGTTTTTGTTTTTCACTTTTTGTCATGTTCAGATTCTGGTAGCAATTGGAACTTTGGCCATAAGACTGTTTTCAAAACAGCGGCAGGATTGTGGCAAAAGAAAATAGAAAGAGAATTGGATCTTCTATAATCCCATCTTTTTTCCTTTTTTAGTGAAGCTTTGAGAATATAATATCAAAACCAGAGTTATTTAAAGGACACTCTTAATTTTTTTCATTGGTTTCAGATTTGTGTGCAACCTTAGAAGCTTTTTTATGTTGAGATGACCTTATACATATTTAAAATATTTAACAGTAATATTTCCTCTCAATAGATATGTCCTGTTTCAGCTCAACATTCTATTTTGGACAGGGTTAATCCTTACATTAGGCACATTGTGGTGGATTGCCTCAGGTGGCAGAATTTAGGGTGCCGTTAAATGGACAGCAAATTTCCTAACTATGTAGTTTGTCATTTTTATTTTATTTTATTTTTACCCCCATGAGGGGTGCCCTTCAATAATTTTTATGTGTGTGTTTTCTTTTGTTTTGCCTCAGGCACAAAAATGTCTTGGTCTGCCTCTGGCTTTAGGCAAAAATCAGTGGCAAATGTATTGTCTGGGGATCATATTAGCAGCCATCCTAATAGCCATTTCATTGTGCATCCATGTGTATGGTCAGGCCAGCCTGCTGTTCCCAAGGTGTGAGGGGAAAAGGTGAGATTAACTACCACAGGTGCTAAAAGCAATAAGAGCTCAGACAGTCAACACTTTAGCAATTTGTACCTTCTGAGATTTGTACCTTCATGGTTTGCAACCTTTGTCTGGAGTCAGGAAGGAACGTCAACCTCACTTTTATCTGTGCCATTGTGGCTATATATTGATCTTAAAAATAAACAGATGATATCCCTTAAGTGTTAAAACCCATTCCTTGTAAAGAGAAAGTTAGCATCATTCCAGCTTGGATCAGGAGTATTTTTAAGCTACAATAGGATTGTTTTGGGTTGTTTGTTTTAAAAAAAGAATAGCCACCATCTTGGTGGGGCTATCAGCAGACTACAGATTTCTTTCAACTTTGAAGCTTTGGAGATGTAATCTATTGCCCATATGCCCTGTGGTGAATAAGTGAACAGGCCTCTTTGCCACTGGTTGACAGAACCTAGTTGGTTTTAAAACAGAGGGAATGTTAATCAGCCTTGAAATCTCACACTTCAGTGGTTCCTTTGTGGAAGGGAAATGGAGCTCCAAAAATTGCTCACAGGGATGGGGAAAGGTCATAGCTCCATAGTACAGCATCTGCTTTGCGTATGGAAGTTCTCATGTTCAGTCTCTGGATTCTTCATGTAGAATTGAGAATTTGCTCTGTTGGAAACCCTGGAAAGCCACTGACAGTAAGTCGATGAAGACATACTGAGCTAGGTAGACCTGAAGCAGTTTAAGGCCGTTGCCTAAATTCTTATACCTCCCCATTCATTGCTCACCTTTGAATCACCTCTCCAACACAAGGCCCCTGTAGAAAAGTGTCTTCTTCTTCTTCTTCTTCTTCTTCTTCTTCTTCTTCTTCGTCAGTCAATATGTCGTAATCAACATTTGCTAACTCCATTAAATTAAATATATTTTATTTAAGATGCAGTAAAATATATTTAGGACAGGAGCATTGATGGTAAAATATCATCTTATTTTTGTTTCAAAAATGTAACAAGTGGCACAAAGGTATCTGCCAACCCCAGGGGTGTGTTTTGTCCTTTCTGTGCAACCCTCTTCTTTCCCTTGGCACCATCCATACCTGCAGGCAACTCCCACAGTATTCTGCAGGTGCTTCAGTGCAACTTGTGAAACCCTATCAAGCTTATATATTGTTGTTAACATTCAGCAGTAATGCAACATAAAAGCAGCACCTCTAGAGTGATTTTTCTGTATTGCTGTGAAATATTTAATTAAGGTGATTTTAAGAAGTTTTGAATGCTGCTCACAGGGTTTTGCAAATATAGAGCAATAGTAAAGGGATGGGAGATAAATTAATCTGTGATGGGTTGCTTGGGAGTGGTACTTTTATCAGCAATTTAAAACAACAGCAACAACTCAGGAAACAGATAGGTACCAATTAAGAAGTAAAGAAGAAAAAGAAAAGAGCCAATTCTGCAAACAACATTCATCCAGATTCTTTTGTGTTGGCTCAGGAGTACATCCTATTAAGTTCAAATGGTCTTGCTCCCAGGAAAACAAGAGGATTCTAATCTTAGCCTCAGGCAATATTGGTAGAAGACATTTGGTTGTCTGAGGTGAAGGGAAATATGGTGCCCCATATTCCACATACAGATATTAATCAGATTGGCAGTTGAGGCTAGGGATTGACAAATCTAGACAACCAAGTGTTGGTAGCTAAATATTTCAAAAGAAAGGGAAAGAGTTATTCTTTTTAAAACAAAAAACAAAAACAAAAAACAACTCCAACTACACTCGCCTATTCAAAAAACCCAAAGTAAAAGGCAGGAGTTGTTTCGGAAGAGCTTTAACTTTAACTATTTATATAAGCAAGTAATTTAATCCACAGTCTTTTCTATTCTTGCATTATCATTTGTTGGGTCTGCACTTTTGAGGTGGGAAGAGGAAAAAGTAAACTGACAATTGCTTTATTGCAGACTGTTCCAATTACTTAGGCACTTGATGTGAAGCATAAATAGTATGAAGATCATATTAGAAATGTTTCAGGATGTAAATAGCTGTTGACAGATTTCCACCTATGGGATACTGGAAACACGTTTCATCTTGAAGCAGCCAATCATGCCTTGGGAGTCTCCTGTAAATTCCAGCAAAACTGCTTGATGCACTGATTTATTTTCTCAAAGGTTTTTATATAATTTTATTAAACAAACAAACACCAACAACTAAGAAAAAGAAGTCAATCCAGACTCAAACATTCCATCTGAGCAGGCAGAGAGGTGGTATGCAGGGTTGATACAAAGCCACAGAGAGATGATCGATTTCCGTATTTTGCAAGGCTGGTGTTGTAGATGGGCTGAATAATCCTAATAAGGGGCTGGAGATGATCAGAGTAGCAGAATCATATTTACCTGAAGCCCTACAGGTCTGGCTCCATCCCTGCTTCTCTCCCAGAATGCCCTGTCTTGGAACATTGCTGCCAAACAAGACAACTGCTAATAGTAATTTCTCACATCTTGGGATGTGAAGAAGCCTCTGCCATCACTGATGCTCCAGCTTGCCGGTAGAGGCTGGCAGAGAGGGGCCATAACTGCATCCACTACCACCCACCCCCATTTATCAACCTTATAGAAGCCTCAGTCAATGTTGGGTGACTTTTATGAAGCAGGAGATAGGCAATGTGGTGGCTGTTATATCTGCACATGGAACAAAGCCTTGCTTATTGCAATTAGCCTTTGCAGATGGAATGAACCATGTACTCTCATGGGCCATTTTGGGGTTTTCTGTTTGGAGCAGGTGTGTGGTGAGGCTGCATAAAGTATAGAATGTCAAAGTAAGCAGAAATGACAGTCAGGATGATGACCAGTTGCCAGAAGAGGGAGACGGTAGAGGAGATTAATTGGGTGCAAACTGGTTTTACTGATTTCTGGCTCTAATTGTGTTCAACTCAGACTTCAATTTGCTGAGAATTTGTTTTCATCGTTCTGCAAATAAACACTCATCTTTTGTTAACCTCATGTAATTGCAAGTGAACGCTTTCCACATACCTGCACCTTACACCAGAGACTGGCAACTGCTGACTCATGAGTCAGAATTTTCCAACCAATCATTATTTTTTCTGGCCCACCAGCCACATACAGAACTTTGTGGCAGTGGCAGCTGTGGAGGCATTAACACTAAACACACACACACACACACACACACACACACACACTCATAGAGTGTTATTGGGTGCGATAGCGGGCTCACAGTAATGGTACTGTAAGGAGTGGTATGGCTGGTGTTGTTACTACCAGTGGTATCAGGCGCAGTGGAGGTACAGCAGCAGTGGCAGTATCACTAAAAGTTTTTTTAAAGACACAGATTCTGCCGAGTCTTGGGAAAACTGCCACTTCTGTCTTTGTGAGTGCTTGGGAATCTTCACTGGGGCATTTCCAGAACACTTGGGAATCTCCACAAGAGCACTTGTGGGATATTTGAGGATCATCACAATCCCTTGAGGCAAATCAGAAACAATGTTCCTCCCACATAACCCTTCACTGCTCCCTTTGCCCTGACAGCTTGAAACGCTCATCCAACATTAGATCAACATTATAAACGCTACCTTAAAGGGCGATATTAAATCTTGATGAGCAACTCCATTCATGTAAATGTCGCTGTGGGTGTGACATGGATTGCCTAATTATAAATTCATTTTATTTTCAATTAAATTCATGGCAGTTTATTTCAGTTCATTATGATTGTTGCAAAGCAGCTGGAAAAGCATCATTAAATCAATGTGGGAGTGTGAATTAATTACAATTTACTTTAAGTTATTTGATTCCATTTTGTGCAGCGTATGGCTTCTAAGGTGCATGCCTTGTAAAATGAAGTGTTGGGAAAGGCTCATATAGGAACCTAGGTCAGAGCTTTGGCCCAACTCAGTATTGTCAACATTGACTGATACCAGCCTTACCTGGGAAAGCTGAAGAATGAACCTGGGATCTTCTGTACGCAAAGCAGTTGCCATACCATTGAACTATGACTCTTCCCTAATGTAATAATTGGCCACAGATTTGCTTAAGTCACAACCAAGAGCAGGAAGCATCTAGGAGCTCATACCTCCTTTGGCACGTGGTGCTTATGCTATTTAATACCACCTACCTGCTGGAAACAAAGATCCTCCCCAAGTCATCACTGCAGAAATATTAAACAGAAAGCAAATTCAAGCAAGATATGTTCTGCCCTCTTTTCCTCGAAATGTGATTCAGGGTGCTTTTAAAAAATTCTGCTGACACTTTCATCCTGCTGCAGAAAGCCAGCTCAGGGCCACCCAGGAGACTGGCAGACATGCCAGTCAAGTGACCCCAGTTCAAGAAAGAGCCAGAGTTCCCAAGTCTCCAGCCATTGGAGGCCGTCACAGCAATGACACTCTGGCTCCTGGGGCCTTGCCGTTCCAACTGCAATGTATTCCTGTTTGTCTCATTGTCAGGGGCTTCAGAGGGAACCATTCGTCTGACCTGCCATGCAGAGACACAAGAGTTGCAATCTCACCCAACTGTGATTGGAAGTTGATAAAATAACGCAAAGGATATTTGAGAGAAACAAGCCACTACCACAGGCAGACACAGACCCCCACCCCCTGGAACATCAAACCAGTTTTGCTATTTCACACACTGCACAATTTATGACCAGAACTAAAGTAAAATTGTTCTAAAACAAACTCTTCATTACATTTTTGCATTGTACACACCCTAGATTACACCCCCTAGTACCTCCAGATATTTTTTTTAAACAATTGTTGCTGTTGCTATTTTCATCACAGCTTGCAAAGTTAACAGAGAAAATGAAGGTGGGGAGAATAAAAATAAAGTCAGTAAAATCAAATGAAATTTGAAAAACAGAAAACAAATAATAATACTTGTTGCCACCTGTCTGTCTCAGGAGACAATGCAGGAGTTCACCTTTGGGGTTGAAGCCAAACTCATTCTGTTGGAAGGTTATAGTACCTGCTGTGGCTGTAGAGACTGATATGGGAGAGACATGTTTTGTTGCAGCTGGGGCAGATGAAGGCACCCAGATGTGCTGCTGTAGATGCACAATGACATTTCTTCTCTCTGTGCTCCCTCCCAGCACATTGTTCTTCTGGACACTGCTGTGGATGCATGACATGACTACCTGTCTCCAGGCACTGCGGTCTTCTGAAAGGGATTTCCGCACGGTGGGGATGATATTGCCAGCTTTCATTTGCAGACCTCTTTGTAACACAGAGTTGGTCTGCCAATGAGACTGGTGCCTGAAGCCCGCTCCCGTATATCATGTCCTTGGGGATCTTGCCATCTTCCATTCTGTGCACATGACCAAGCCAGCATAGACGTTGCTGAGATAGGAGTGTGAACATGCTGAAAATGTGGGCATGGGAGAACACATCTTTGTTTTAGACTCTGTCCTGCCATGCGATGTTGAAATCCTACTGACACAGCACATGTGGAAAGCGTTAAGGCCTCCATGGCCTCCTCTTGCATTGTTGGGAACAAGGATCCATGCCACAACATTTGTGTGACTCCAGCATTGTGACCCTCTAGAAAAACAAACCCATATAGTTCCCGACAGATTACCATTGACAGGGACTGTCCTGAGTCATAATGCAGCTTTAGCGATCAGAGGTCAACAGTCAACATGAGTTTCTCAGTGCACCAGCTTCAGGAGAAATGCTGAGCAAAGAGGCCCTCTGTACATTGCCTTCATAGACCTGACAAAGGTCTTTGAACTTCTAAGCCAAAAAAGGATTATTCACACTGCTCAACAAGATAGGATGCCCACCTAAGCTTCGCAAAATTATTGTGTCCATCTGCGAGAACCTGTGTGGCACCATCCAGTATGATGGCTAATCAAACGCCTTTCCTGTAAAGAGTGGTGTGAAACAGGGCTGTATTCTTGCCCCAACTCTCTTTGTTATACCCCCCCCCCCCCCCGTTGCTTTCATATGCCTTCACCTCAACTAAAGACGGTGTGTCCTTCCATTCAGGGTTTGTTCAATCTGGCACATCTCTGTGCCAAAACAAAAGTGTGGTGGGTCCTAATCCAAGAGATGAATACAGTGATACCTCGGGTTACATATGCTTCAGGTTACATACGCTTCAGGTTACAGACTCCACTAACTCAGAAATATTATCTCTGGTTAAGAACTTTGCTTCAGGTTGAGAACAGAAATCATGCTCCGGCGGTGCGGCAGCAGCAGGAGGCCCCATTAGCTAAAGTGGTGGTTCAGCTTAAGAACAGTTTCAGGTTAAGAACGGACCTCCGGAACAAATTAAATACTTAACCTGAGGTACCACTGTAATACTAATAGTAACACAAAACCACCATGAGTTCACGCCATCAATTTCAAGAGTTTACTGGCAAGAGGAATGGATAGTTAAACCACTCCCGAAAATGTGAGTGGAATTGTGGGGCTCCTAATTACACTCAGCACCCTTAACAAGCTACAGTTTCCACAATTCTTTGGGGGAAGCCATGACTGTTTCAGTGGTATAATAGTGCTTTAAATGCATGATGTCAGTGTGGAGTGAATATCTATATTAGGCACCCAATGGTATTTCATTTCAGTGTTTAATATTTGACCACAGACACTTGAGCATATTTGGTAAATTGGGTGCCCCAAATTGTAAAAATCTGTTCTATGGTTTCCACAATGTTGTACCAATAAGAACGTTCTTTAAACGTTCAGAAGGCCATGCAAGTATGTAAGGGATGTGAGAAAACCTACATTGGCTCTGTCCCCCCCCCCCTGCCTTGACCTGTGAGCATGGAGATCTGATGGAAGATTAATTTGAACATGGTAATACAGTTGGATCCTGAACACCCTGGAACTCAGACGTTTTGGCTCACGAATGCTGCCTACTTGGAAGTGATTGTTCCGGTTTGCAAACGTTCTTTCTTTTGGGACCCGAACATCCGATGGGGCTTCCACAGCTTCTGATTGGCTGCAAGAGCTTCCTGCAGCCAATCAGAAGCTGCAATTTGGTTTTTGAATGATTTGGAAGATGAACGGACTTCTGGAATGGATTTCGTTCGACTTCCAAGGTACAACTGTAATTTTCTTTCACACTCAAAATGCAAAGGACAGGGGAAGGAAGGGCAGGGCTGGTATACAGGGGGACACTGAGGGTGGGGCTTGCACATGTGCTTCCATGCACCCTATCTAGTTTGAGCCCTCATATGTTCTTTTGAATATCTGCAGGTGACTGATCCCTTGACCTACTATTTCAGTACTGAGCAATAAACATTCCTTATTTGCCGTTTTCCTAAGAAGAACAGGTTAAAAATACTTCAGCTGATGCTTGTTTTTCCTTTCTTTCTTTTTTGGTACTTCATTTAATGGGCCCACTAATGAATCTCATGGATATAATGAATTAATGAAAAGAAAGGTGGATTAAATTACTACTTTTCTGGCCGTAAGTCATCAATCAAACTGCACTACACAGCCTGAAATTTCATTACAAGGAACTGTTTTGTGAATCAGTTTTACCTCATTCATTTTAATTAAATGAATATTTATATATTCATTTTGCCAAAAAATATATACATATGTCCATAAATCTCTTGCCGTAGAAGATGGCAGTTTATTGAGGACCAAATTGTTACAGCTTTGTTGAACAGGACACTGAAATGGAGTTGATGAAGAATAACTCTTTAAGGATGCATGGATCCCTTTGTATTTGTTTATTCAATTTATTTCAGAATTTATACATTGCCCTTCATTGTCAGAATGATCTCAGGGCAGGTCACAATGCATTATAAAACTATAGAGAATCAATAATAAAATGTTTACAAAATCTGTAGCATGCAATGTTTTTACTTCCTATTATATTTCTTACCCACCCTTCATTAGAATGTCCCAGGGTGGATTACAGTATATAAAACACTAAGCAACTAAAGCAGCACTAAACAGCAATCCCACCCATAAAAATCACTCCAGGCAATGCATTTCAAGGATATCAAAATCAGTTTTGTAGCTCTCAAAGGCCTGGGTAAAGACATCCATCTTCAGCAACTGATGAGAGAACATTTACTCTGGGGAGGGAGGTCCACATTTGGAGGCCCACAACTGGGGGGGGGGACCCTCTCATGACCTGTGAAGCCCTTGAATCTCAGTTGATCTGAATCCCCAGGCTTGAGGGGAAGCGTTATTTGTTTTTGTTGTTCTTGTTTTTATTATGTATTTTGTATTTTTCATCTTGTATAGACTCTCCTCCCTGGAAGAGAGGGGAGTGGTTGTGGGCGGGAGCCCGAGCACCGCCCCTAGCAGGGGGCATTAGCCCCCTGCCTCCTCCTCTCACCTGGCTGGCGCCCACGCCCCCTTGGCAGGCATCCAACCAGGTGCCTTCGAGGGGGCGTGTTCAGCAGCCTTTTGCGGCGGTGCCAGCCTCTCCTCGGCCTCATTCTTCTCCGTTCTGGCCTGCTCCTGGTTCACAAGGATGGGTCACCTTTGTTGAGACACCAATTCACAAGGGTACTCCGCAAAGCTATTGATGCCTGTGGTTTATCTTCCCAGGATTATGCTGCACACTCATTCAGGATTGGCGCCACCACAACAGCGGTGCTCTTGGGTCTGCCAGCGGATAGGATTAAAGAAATGGGCCGGTGGAAATCCAATGCTTATAAAAGTTATATTCGCTAGAATGCGTTCTGCTATATTACCCCTACTTACCTCCTTTTCTGTCCTTCATCCTCAGCTGTGATCAGGAGAAGCGTGTGGATTTGCGGCCACAGTATAGTCCATTGGGCCCGCGTACGGGCGGTCAGCTGCGGCCTTGCACCTAATCTTGGTCTGCCACATGGTGTTCGAGTTTCCTGGTTCTCGAGAAGACGCATGCGCTGGGAAGAGCTTATGCCATTGCTGTGGGAAAAAGTCGCCACATTCGGCCCTCCCGGCATCCTTGTCATTCAATTAGGGGAAAATGACCTTGCTTACAGAAGGAGTGCGGACTTGTTGTGGAATACAAAAAGAGACTTGGTTGCGTTTGCTGCCTTGTGCCCCAGAACAATGGTGTTCTGGTCCTCCTTCCTGAAGAGAATTTTTTGGCGCGGTGCGCTGAGCTGTATGGCCATTGAAAAACCAGGAAACTCGTAAATCGGGCAGTGGCCCATTGGGTGCGCTTCATGAATGGCCGAGTCATTTATCATGACCAAATCTGGATCGGCGACCGGGCCTTATACCGGAATGACGGGGTGCTTCCCTCTGACCAGGGGAACGACATTTGGCTAGATAGTGTCAGCAGCAGCATTAGGGATTGGTTACAGCCGTGAGGGTATTGGCGGCGAGCCTTATTGGCTCGGGTGGCGGTTAGGCATTGGAATAATGTGTTGTGGTGTGTCGAAGGGCTGGGTGTGGCCATCGCCTATGCCTTCAATTTTTGGGTATTCCGTTAAAGGAATCTGGCGGTCGTGTACTCTGTCCGATGCCTGCTTGGCGGGAGGCCATGGCACGACCCCCGGTGACATCAGGGGAGAGCCTATAGTTGGATTAGCATCAACAGGCTCCACCTACTGGTGAATAAACCCCCTTGTTTTAGACATCCAATGCCTAAGCCAATACCTTTTCACTGCTGTAATCAATAAAGTTGTGGCCTTTTCTTGCCCATTAACCTTATATCACGTGTCCTTGTGTATTTATTTCACATCGCGGGGGTCGGGTCCTCGAACCACAATCTTACGTTGTGAACTACCCTAAGATCTGGTACTGATGAAGAGTGGTATACAAATTTAATAAATAAATAATAATCCCCTAGGTCATTGTTCACAGATGGATTGTCTCTGGGCTTCTCGCTCCTCCTGAGGAGACCCTTCCTCCCGAGGAGACTCCTGCCCACCCATAAAACATCCTGAAAAAGAAATAAATTCTCTTATGCCAGTTCTGGGCCTTCCATAGGCTCCAGTGTGGCCTCCATTCTTGAGAGAAAGGTGATTAGATGGGAGAATCAGCAAGTGATTTGGGATTTAGGTGGAGGGATGACCACAGGCAAGATAAGCGTAAGTCTAAGTACTTTGGACTGTTTTAAGGCTACAGCAGGTTCTTTGTTGTTCACAGTTTTCTGGGCAACAGGCCCTCATCTTTTCTTCAAAGAGAAAGGAAGTCTCCTCAGGGTCCTGGTTAGGGAAGATTGTGACACCAAGGCAGCTTCATATGAGATCCCCAGATGCAGAAGTGAACAGATCTCCTACATTTGCACCTTCAGTAGCTTTGCCTATTTGAGAGGATTTCAGCAGGTTGTTATGTTATACCTATTGTAGAAGAGGACACTCTTCTACACAGTTATTAAACCTACATGAGTAGATGGGTCATTTTAGGTGACAAAACCTTTTTTCTTTTCTTTTTTGCAAATTTCTTTAGTAAGGGGTCTTAAAAATAGGTTTTTGGGTATGAGGAATTCAAATCTGCTATTATTTTTCATGACTGGATAACATTTAGCTTGGTAAGCCCACATTTGATGAAGAGGCACTTATCTGCTTTCAGAAAACCAAAGAATTTTAATTTTACCTTCTGAAAAATTTCAGGGAATGCCAAAAATTCAACATACCCTATTACAGGAGCCCCATTCTTTCCAAAGCTAGCTTCACATGCTCACTAGAATCTATTAGCTTCCCTTCCATCCCAACATAATTGCTTATACACAGAATAAATGCTTCTTAATGCATTTGAATTACAGCTACTGTGCAAGTATAACCAGCTCCATTGTGAGATTAAATACTCTGATACTGAAAAAGAAAAGAAAAAGAAAGCCATTACTGACAGCTGACTTACGCATCTACTTCAGAAGCCACCACTCAGAAGTCATTTTGGAGAATGTGACTAGAAACACCTTCAAATGCCATAATGAAGCATTTGATAACACAATGAAAATTAATCCCAGCAGTATTCTGGGATGAGCTGCAGCTCACTCATAAGGCAAATGCTTTTCAAGGCCCAATAATTTGAATGTCCAGTTCAAGAAGTAGGACATGTGCTTGAGACCCTGGAGAGAAAGCAGACACAGGACTCTGTCACAGTAGACAGTGTTCTAGATCACGGGTGGAGAACCTTTGACACTCCACCTGTTATTGGACTCCAACTCCCATCAGCCTTAGGGAGTATTGCAAAAGTGGGGGCTCTTGGGAGTTCTGGTTCAAGAACATATAGAAAGCCACAGCTTTCCCATTCCTACATGAAGGCAGATTCATGGGTTCATAATAGTTTGTGTCAGATTTTAGAGGAATGGGGAAGGTTAGAAAAGAAGCCTTTGCTACTTTCAATGCAAGTTTTACACACAAATCACCACCACGGTCCTAAGATAGGCCTAAACATGCTTAGCTACTTTCCTGGCCCAACGTAAAGGTCAGGGGTGCCAGCCCAGTAATTCTCAGATCTCACACATTTGAAATGCAAATGTTAAGATATTGATTTTTCACAGGCTGTAAATGTGTAGCCATGAAGTTCAACTAGCCTAAAAATGTGCACCTTAAATATTTATAAATTGCCAGTCTGCTGAATGTGAATGGCTGGGAGACTGAATGTGAATGGCTGGGAGACTTTCGATTTGGTCTTTTGCATATCTGGAAGTCTGAATTGTCTGCAATGTGACCCTCAAACCCTGGTCAGCAGCTATATTGCCTAGAGGGCCAAACCAGTTCCAAGCATTGAATCTCTATCTCTCTCTCTCTCTCTCTCTCTCTCTATCTCTCTCTATCTCTCTCTCTATCTCTCTATCTCTCTATCTCTCTATCTCTCCCTTTCCCTCTCCCTCTCCCTCTCCCTCTCCCTCACCTTCTCCCTCTCCCTCTTCCCCTCTTCCTCTCTCTCACATACTTTGCTTGTCCTTGCCCCACTGCAACCTGCTCCAACTACAGTACTCACTTGGAGGAGTACATTGCAGCTGTTCCTTCTGCCACCACCTTCAACATGAATGGCAGTAGCAGTAGCAGGAGAAGTAATAAGGCTAGAGCTGGCTCAGTACAGTTTGCTACCTGAAGCAAAGGGCAACATGGTTCCCTCTCCCCTTATTTCACATACAGAAGCCAGCTGCACTGGAAGTTGAATCTTATTTCAACACTGACAGTAAACCATATTTCTCCATTGAAAGTGAGAGAAGCAGGATAGCTTAAGTAGGCACAGAGCAGACCACATGGCCCACACAGATTTGTCCTTCAGCACCTCACTGCCACCACCTGCCCATCAGCATCTGCCACCCGGGGCAGCTGCCTCATTCTGCCTAATGTTAGAAGACAAGGGTCATCATGTTTAATGCAAATGTACATTCCACCCCTCCAGAAATAGATAAATTGGGGGGGGGGCATTTTCCCAGCTCTTCAGATGGGAAGCTAATACCCATAATATCACTGATACCTCTCTCAAGTGTTCAGATGAGGGTGGCCTGATGTAAAAGAAGGCAGAGCTCTGACACTTTTAATAGCTGTGTGGCAGAGGGGGTTTATGCAGGGGCTTGCAATACTTCTGAATAATAAATTTTTAAAAAAACAGTGAAGGGCAAAGATCTAAAGCAGGGGTGGGGAACTTTTTTTTTTTTTGGCAAAAGGGCCACATTCCCTCATGGAGAATCTTCTGGGGGCCACAACCCAGTAGTAGGTGAGGTAGAGGAAGTGAGCAGAGCAGTGGACATGACATCTTTCTACTGTAAGTAGATCCGCACAACAGTCAGCAGAAAAACGTAAATTATCTCTGGAGAGTCATACTCAGCCCCTGTGTTTGAGGTTCCCCTGCCTTATTTAAAGAGGTGGACATACATGGATCCTTCAAAACCTTTGGAAAGGTAGGTCACCTGCTAATAAGTGGTGGCACCCACTTGTCATTGCAATGCAAGAGGAGGAGGAGTGGTAGGAGGGCAAGATGTATGGCTGACCCAGTGATTGACTTAATGGAATGTGCATCTTTCACACAAATTGCAAAAATGCTGAAAGAAACCAGTCTGATGCCATAAATTAAGAAACCTACTACAGCTTTTTTTGAAATGTTATTTCCCTTTTCACCCAGAGAATGTCCGCTAGGCTAAGGAAGGCATCAGGTTTAACATATAGGAAGGAAACATGCACAGAATGAGAAAAACTCAAAGACCTAATAGGAAACTTGGACGGGAGATGCAGCATGGATAACTGACACTTCAGAAATGTTAGAAGGGGTATTGTGTGATGATAATGAGGTTTGCAGCACTTGAAGGGCTGTTCCTCTGCCTGAATTTTTCATCATCCCCAAAAATGGACAATGTGAAAAGGCAGAGTGACTGTGAATGATAGAGGTAACCCATCTGCTGGTTGCAGTGTAACAATTAAATAATTTTGGTACAATAATCAAACTGAAATAAGTAATCAGAGGAAAGGAAAGGAAATGAATTCATAGGAAGCAGAACAGTGCTCCGAATAATCTGGCAAACACAGTTATTGATAAGAGGCAGTTATTTTTGATCTACAATGAAATAAAGCACAGCTCTCTGGACATTGTTGAAGCCATACAGCTACTCATTTGTTACACAATTAATTAGGAGATGGCAAACATAAAGAGCAAATGCTAGGGGGAAAAGGAGGAGAACAAGTGCTGGGGCAATTTTGTGGTTCAGTAAAAACCATGATCACCATCCTCCTCCTAATTAATTTCCTCTTGGATGCAAATTCTCAGAGGAATGTTTATGAAAATATTTCCATTCCTTGGAACTGGAGAACTTTCCTTGATTTTCATCTTCTGGCTTAAATCAACACACAGGGTATTGAGCACACTAGCTCTTCCCCAATCACCATTTGGGATGGAGAATATAGTTTGCCTCTAAACCTGAGTTTACCTAATTTGCACTTTCCAAAACAACACACAAACCCAGAAGTTGCAACCCTTCAAAACTCTCACTTCTCGAAATTTCTCGATGCACTTCTTCAGCAAAGTAACGTGTAGAAACATGCATATAAGGAGGTGCAGTATGAATAAATATGCACATTTTAGTGGGGGACGGGAGAAACCACTCAAAAAAGCAGTATATTACAAAACATAGCTTTGCACAAATGTGTACATTAGGCAAAATTACACGCAAAAATGTTCATACCAGGAGAAATCTCCACTAGAATATGGGTGAATTTTCATGAGGACCTTTTTTAAAATTGCAAACTGGTGTGGGAAAGTGGAGAACTAAAAATGGGAAAATGAGAAATTGAGAGAAATCGACACATCCATCCATAATTACCTCCTCATCTGTCTCCACAAAAAGGGCAAACATCTACAGCAGGGAGCCTGATCTAATTGTATAGTTTATTTGTATAAAATAGAACTCTGGGAACTAAGCAGGAGACATTTTGTTGGTTGAGGCCCACTGGCAGTTGAATCTTACTTCAACACTAGCAACAGGTCATCCTCCTGCATTTCACTTGTACTTTTTTTAAAAAAATATGGCAACTCTAGCATAGAAAGCCCTTAACAACTTGGGGCCAGTTTACCCACAAGATCACCTTACCCCACAAGTGCCCACCCAAGTGCTTCAAATGTCAGATTTTACTACCAATTACCGCATAATACCACACTTGCCAAGAACATTATTGATTAGTGTGGCAGCACCTGCACTTTGGAACATCATTCCTCTTGAGATCAAGGAGGTGACTTCAGTGCACTCTTTTCAGCACCTGCTAAAAACATTGCTTAGAAAGTTGAGGCAATTCTAATGTGTTTTAGTATTTTAACATTTATGTTTTTTAAAGTGTGGTTTTGAATTTTTCATGGTTTTACTGCTTTATCTTCCGTGAATTGTTTTGAATCTTTTGTTTTGGTATTAAGCAGTGTGTACATTTTGTGAACTAAATAAATAAAGAAATAGTGTAAGATCCTAAAAAAATTAAGAGAGGCAATTTTACTTTTTTAATTCCCTCAATCTTGAAAGCCAGCTCCCAATTTTGCAATACGTTGTTCCAAATAAATAGGGTGGGTAGGCTTATGGTAATCTAGATGTTGTTGCACTGCAGCGACCTTCAGCTCCAGCCATTGCACCCAATTCTCAGAAATAGGGATAGAGGTGAGGGGAACTGATATTGTTTTCATTTAATGAGAAACTACCCAATTTACATGTCTCCAACCAAGACACAAACCAAAATACAATTCTATTTTGAAATTTGCATCCAAATATTGCAGTACAATTGCCCAACCATACACTGCATGGGAAAATGAAGCCCAATGGCAGAAAGTATGCATAAAATACATACATTAGTGAAAATGCCATCCAAAAATCTATATAACAGTAAAAACTACCGGCAAACACATGTATTTTTGAATAAATTCACCCTAAATTGTGGAGGAATTTTCATGAGGATTTAAAAGTTTATTTATCTATTTAGAATATGTGTGTGTGTGTGTGTGTGTGTGTGTGTGCACACGAACGCAAAAATCAAAGCTTTTTTAAATAATACATAAAAACATACAATAAAAACCATAAAAGATAATTATTAAAACCAGACATCAATTTACTATTGTAGAATGATGCACTCTTAAAGATGCCTGCAAAGGTCTGGTGGAATAGAAAAGTTTTTGACTTCTGGCACAGCCACCATGGCGACCTGCCAATCCCATGGTAGCAGATGCCAGCCGTGCAGATTATTAAGGATAATTTGGGAGTAATTATCCTTGCAAGCCCCCTCCCAGGATTGGGGGGAAGAGCTTTCTCTTGTGGATCATCCGATAACTGCTTCTCGCTCCAATGGAGTGCGGGGGCAGGGGCGCAGAGTGCACAGCACTGCACTTATTGGAAACTCCCCAATGCGGTCGCCATGAGCGGAGGTAATTCTGTTTCTTTTAAGATGTATCTGAATTTGGACTTAAGAAACACACGTGTTTTGGAAGAAGGAAAAAGATAACCTGTGAAATGAATCAGCCAAGGTTTTGATCTGGAGAGGACCCTCGTCATCGTAATTGGAATGCTACATAAGTGAAGGGGAGCCTTTGTTCTTTTTCTTTTTTTTTTTTACATTATTTTTGCTGTGCTATGAATCGGCA